CCTTACTTTAGCAAAGGAAAACCAGTCTCCTCTTGGCTTATATCGAAATCCTCCGACATTCTTCTTTACAAATGCTCATTTTGTACTTCTATTTAGTGACCGTTCTTTTGTTATTATCTCTCCCCTGCGCTTCCGCATTCGTCACTTCTGAGCGGTGCATGCGCAATGCCGAACTTATACGTCATCCGCAAATTGATTATTACATTTTAAATATTACAAAAACGCATCGATTCACTAAAGGAGGCCTTTGTTCACCCCCCGGAGCAGTGTTTTTTTTCTAATGGAGGGGCGCTTTTTATTTCACTTCTTTTGGACTGAAGCACTGCAACACTCACTGAGTGCCATTAAACAGCTTGAAAGATCAAAGACAATTTTTAATATAACTCCGACTGGATTCGTCTGAAAGAGGAAAGTCATATACATGCCTTGAGGGTGAGTAATGTATGGCCTAATTTTCTTTTTGGGTGAACTAACCCTTTAATTATTTGGGCAATATTTGTCATTTTACGTATATGCTGGCCACATTTGTGGCATCATATGTGGGCCACTTTAGGCTCACAGCCACATTAGCCAGTGCTCACAGTGCCATATCTTTGCCAAAACTGGCCCAGATATGTTTGAGGATAACTGGGCCACATTTGCGGCATCATATAAGGGCCACTTTAGGCTCACAGCCACATTAGCCAGTGCTCACGGTGCCATATCTTTGCTAAAACTGGCCCAGATATGTTTTATACCTGGGAAAAATGTATGGCATAATATAAGGGCCACTTTAAATTCACAGCCACATTAGCCAGTGCTTACCATGCCATATATTTGCCAAAACTGGCCCAGGTACGGTTTAGGATAACTGGGCCACATTTGTGGCATCATATGTGGGCCACTTTAGACTCAAAGCTACATTAGCCAGAGCTCACAGTGCCATATCTTTGCCAAATCTGGCCCAGATATGTTTTATACCTGGGCAACATTTATGGCATCATATAAGGGCCACTTTAAACTCACAGCCACATTAGTCAGTGCTTACCATGCCATATATTTGCCAAAACTGGCCCACATATGTTTTATACCTGGGAAAAAATTATGGCATAATCTAAGGGCCACTTTAAATTCACAGCCGCATTAGCCAGTGATTACCGTGCCATATATTTGCCAAAACTGGCCCAGATACGCTTTAGGATAACTGGGCCACATTTGTGGCATCATATAAGGGCCACTTTAGGCTCACAGCCACATTAGCCAGTGCTCACGGTGCCATATCTTTGCCAAAACTGGCCCAGATACATTTTAATGTACCTTGGCCACATTTGCTGAAACATATGTGGACCACATTTGGTTTACACCCTGATTAGCCTTTGTCGATTGTGCCACATGTTTGCCAAAGGTGGACCACATTTGGTTGGGACTATTTGGGCCATATTCACTATTTACCACATGGGCCACCTTAGGGTCACATTCAGATTACACATTGCCGTGAACACCACATCTTTGCCTACAGAGGCCCACATGTGAATTTGATAAATTTGGGACATTTTTGCTATTTTACATGTGGGCCACTTCAGGCTTACATCCATTTTGTACGGGCCATTTTGTATGGGCCATAAGGCCACCAGTGCCGTATCATTGCCTAAAGTGGCCCACATCCGCATGCCATCTAGGTAGGCTATTTATAGACGATGCTGGATAGTAACTCATTACATGTAATTTGGATTATGTTATCAGATTCCAAAAATTAAGTACTTGTAATTAGATTATATTTCATTTTAAAATACTCAATCAGACTACAGTTACTTTTTATTGATTATATTACATATTCAAGCAATAGCAATAAATGATAATAAATTTTTTCTTCCTAACTCTTTTTCAAGTAGAAATACTTTATAATTATACAAAATGCATGTAAAGTATTAAATGCATGCTGATCTGACATGTTCGGAAAGCAGTGGAAAGTAATGCATTTCCTAATTTGTTGATATGCATCAAATGAGAAAAAAGGGAGCAGGAGGAAACAAAAGATCTGAAGAAGAAGAAGAATATAAATAAATAATAAAAAGAACAGAATAAAGGCACAGGAACAAAGAGAACAAAACACATTAACTGACAAGTAAACACAAGGAAATCAGAGGTCTGTTCTTCATACATGGATTACTCAGTTAGCTCGATTTTATTGTTGATTTTACACAATCCAGGATTGTTTGGTTCTTCAAAGCTCATCCTGGTATTGCTTTCATAGCAACAGGTCTCTTAGCTCAATCCTGCTCGGGGGAAGCTTATTTCATGTTAACAGTAAATTATTTTGAAAATAATTAAAATGTTGTGTAATCTAGAATAATAGACTCATTGAGAGATTCATTTGTGAATTAATAATCTCATAATTTTATTGCAGTTATGAGCCGTGCATTCATCTGAACAGTGAACTTTTATGTTATGCATCACAGGAGATGCGTCCACTTCCCAAATCTCAAAATACTTTAATGATGCACAATTGATTTAAATCAGTTATGTCTTAAAATGGATCTTATGGATTAAGAAACTTTAATTAGTGCTGTCACGTACAACGAATCTGCTTCAAAATTAAATGAACTGCTAATTACAATACTCTTGACATTGAAAAATTCAAAGGTTGTACGAATTATTTTCTGCTTTAAAAATGTCCAGATTAAGGCATTTTAGTAGACAGTATATTAAGGCAGCATTTTTCAGCTGTATCCGTAATAATGTTTCACCCCTGTAGCTCATTTCTAATTGGTTAAGCTGATCAATCTTATATTCATAGACTCTACAGACAAACTATCGGAGACTTCCTGTTACCGGTGATGAAAGTGATTCTTCACATGAGAGTGTTGCATCTCCTTTACTGAACCGTGAGTAAATCACCCTCAGAAATGACAAACTGATGTCAAAAATAATAAAGTAATTGTTGAAATTGAATATAATTAAGTTTATTTGTAGTAGTTGTATAAATTAAGACATATCTGCAAATTGTTTTTGAGAGTGAGATTCTTACACAATGATTTTTTTTTAAGGTTGCATTTAAAATATGTCTAATAAAATCAAGTCAAGTCAAGTCAGCTTTATTTATATAGCGCTTTTAACAATACAGATTGTGTCAAAGCAACTGTACAGCATTAATTAGGAGAATAGTGTGTCAATAATGCAAAATGACAATAGTAAACACTCAATTTTCAGTTAAAAAGCCATACACGTCATTATTAGTGGTGAGCAGTGACTTCTTTAAAAGGGTATGAAGTCTAATTTAGTCAAGCCAAGTCACCTTTATTTATATAGCACTTTATACAATACAGATTGTGTCAAAGCAGCTTTACAGTATCAAACAGAAAAAAAAAACGTGTGCTGATAATGCAGGAGGACAATAGAAAACAGTCAGTATATCAGTTAAATTCAGTTCGTCATTGATTCAGTGATGTGATCATCCAGCTCAGTTCAGCTCTCTTCCAATATAATAGTGTCTGTGCAATCAAGTCAAGAATTTTGCCAGTAGGGATGCTCATATTGACCGCCTAACCCTTAACCGAAAGTAAGAATATCAGTTAAACAGTTTGAAAGGTTTAAAAAAAAAAAAAATTCCATTTTTTTTTATGTTTGCTGCATTGTTAAAGAAAAGTATTCTATTCATATTTGTTAACTCACGGGGGCGTGTTGATACGTGCAACCACACGTGCCTACATATTTCGCTGCGCAAGCACCTGCTCCACTTTCACTTAACTGAAGTAATAAAGGCAACACAATGGCAAAAGGCAATATTGGATAAATGGTTACCAGTGAATGATATGAAATGAGTGAATCCGTGAAATGAATGTATTCAAATTCTGAATGGATTATAGCCTAGAAAGTGTGCAAAGAGCGCTCCCCTTATAATCATTAAAAAGCTGTCACTCATCTCAGTTCTTCACAATCTCACAAAGTTCTGTTATATTTAATGAAGATCTACACTACTGCACAATAAATCTCTTATTTTCATCGTATGTACATTTTGTTTGTTCTAATGAGAGTATTCGCGAGAGTGCACAACTCAGAAACACTTAACCAAACTCCTGCGTTATGAGCGGAGAGTGGATTCTAGCTTAAACACCTCTGATTGGCCATTGCGTTCATGACATAAACAGATATGTCTGTGATTGGCAACAACGCTCACTGCTGCAGAAACCGGTGTTAACAGACTGAGCTCCAGACGATGCCCCACACAGCATGTAGACTTGTTATTTAAAAAAAAAAAACTATACAAGATGTGCACTGAGGTAGTCCTGCCATTTATTTTTATGTCTGATGAAAAAAACATGCTGTCCTTCAAAGTGCATTGAATGATTCAGTGTGTGTTTTTGTTTTGTTGTTAAAAGCAGATAACTTCTGAATTGTGAAGGTCTTCTGTGAGATTGATGCATTGATGGATTCCAGGTGAGTTGAATGTGTATGCACTCTCTGCAGCAGGTGAAATTATGATTGGAATGGGAAAAAAAAAGTACAGTATTTAAACAATTTCACTATAAATTTGCTAAACTCTCTGCACAAAACTTTAAACCGATTACACTTGTAACAAATCTCTTTGTTGAAAAAGACTTAAAGTAGCTGTGCTACTGTTCTTTAATTATTGTTGGATGTTTCCTATCACAAAATCACAATATCAGTGTAAATGACATGTTCTACACTAAAACACAACATAATAAACCAAGTGAGTTTGTTGATAATTAAGTGCTGCTAGCTTAAATTATATTATCAATATTGATTGATTGATTGATTGATTTTTAATATACATAAATTAAAACATGCAATTGAAAAGTTTTTATTAACTGCATTAAAAACTTGACAATTTTCAGTACAGTTTAATCGATTTTTTAGACATGTACATTGTGTTTAGAGGCGTCTGGTTTCCATTTTAACACTGTTCTTTATGTATTTGCAGGGTTGCAACTCTTCTCAATGTTCCCGATGGCACAGTAGTGTTTGAGTTTGAGCCTGTTAACGGCCGATATGTCAACATTTTTTTACCTGGGAACGATGAATACCTTACTCTGTGTGAAGTCGAGGTGTTTGCAGGTGAGGGACAGAGAGAGAAAGACAACTCTGTGATATAATTTGTTTATGTACTTACTAATGTGTGTATTTTATTAACAGAAAAGGACAAACCATTGTACACTTGTGTTCCAAGTGAGTGCTCTTCATTACTGTGAATGTTGTGAGTAACACATATATGCGACCCGTGCAGCCGTTTAAATGCGATAGAGTCAGCAAAGTCAGTTTTGAGAGAAATCAAGTTAAAGTTTTCTAAAGGTTCCAAAGCAAAATCAGAGAGCAACATTGCTTATTTTCCTCCAATTCTTTTCTTAATAATAATTAATGCTGCGCTTTGAACGATATATCCTACAACTTCTGGTGAGAAACAGCAGCAGTCGTCCAGAAGTGAGCAGAGAAAAAGGTACTTCCCTCAGAAAACATACAAATAAAGATCATTTTAGATGTCTAATTACTATCTGAAGCATTGGGATCACTAGAAGAGGGCTTAATGAACTCATTTTTGTGAAAACCTGAAATTCGACCAAAACTGACATTTTTTCACTACTTTTGCCTGTAGCTCAATATTAGACCGTACGCATTCACACTCATCTTGCCAGCATGGGTCACATATAATATTCTTATTGAGCATTTGCTAACCAATAAGTGATAATGTACATCCAGACAGTAGCTATCACAAAATATCCCCGGCTAATTAAATAAATAATTTTGGACACAAAATATTGATTTGAGTTAAAATATTTGATTAGCTCACTTGTAATAAACGCAAAGCTTGTGTGAAGAACAATAGCTCCTAGCAAGACGAGCGACCACTTATATTTATACGAATACCACTTATTACATGGCTTTTCACCAAACACATAATTACATGGGCATATTGATTTGAGATGAAACTGTTTTAAATTAAAGTTAAGTTATTGTCTGTCATTTTATGTTAAACAGGGAATCTTGCTCTTGGAGGCAAAGCTGTTCAGTCTTCCACATACAGTGATTTAGGAGCTGCTCAAAATGCTGTCGATGGCAACAGGCAGTCAAGTTACGCACTCGGCTCATGCAGCGTGACTAACGGGGACATGAACCCCTGGTGGAGAGTTGACTTGCTGGAGGTCTACAGGGTAACCAGGGTTAGCATCACTAATCGTGGAGACTGTTGTGAAAAGAGGATCGAGGGTATTCAGATCCGTATCGGCAACAGCCTGGAGAACAACGGCAACAATAATGAGCTGTAAGTGCTGTCTCTCTCTTAATGCTTACATAAATTGTTAGAAAATGAGTAAATAAGATGAAATTACTTTGAATTAATCATTTTAATACAAACTTGCCTTTGACAGAAGTATATCTGATATGCCCCTCTCTTTTTCTCTGTTTCTGTGTGTCTTCACAGGGCTGCAACTGTTGGGCCCATCCCACTTGGAAACACCAAAACATTTGAGTTTAAGCATGTTAAGGGGCGATACGTCAACCTTATTGTGCCTGGACGCACTGAATACCTCACACTGTGTGAAGTTGAGGTATATTCAGGTGAGAGATAAACGGAGAGAGACATGGTGTGTAGAAATTTGAATGTGTATATATGTAATATGTGTATGCAGCCTTGCTAAAAATGATTATTTTTTATTTATTTTTATTTCATTGCCAGATTAAGTGGAACAAGATGATGTTACACCACAGTCCACTGATCTTCTGAAACTACTGTTTTCTGAGCAATACTAATATTGCACCTCTTTTTCATTGTTTTCATTTTACTTATGCACCTTTATCCTTCCTCCAGGGGGATTTGTATTTACACCTTAAACACTCATTGTGCCTGGACGCACTGAATACCTCACACTGTGTGAAGTTGAGGTATATTCAGGTGAGAGATAAACGGAGAGAGACATGGTGTGTAGAAATTTGAATGTGTATATATGTAATATGTGTATGCAGCCTTGCTAAAAATGATTATTTTTTATTTATTTTTATTTCATTGCCAGATTAAGTGGAACAAGATGATGTTACACCACAGTCCACTGATCTTCTGAAACTACTGTTTTCTGAGCAATACTAATATTGCACCTCTTTTTCATTTTACTTATGAAGGTATTTACACCTTAAACACTCCTATTATTCTTTATCTTTGCTTTCTACATTAATAAATTACTACAGCATTGCATGTTGTATTGCATGTTTCTGAATCAAAAAATCATTTGGATGTTTACAGTGAGGAGGTATAGAAACACATTCCCGCTTCCAGTTTTAACAGAAGATATGCACAGATGATTGGAGTCTGTTTGATGAATACTGTACTTACAGGGTTTTAAAAATAGGCTAAGGAAAACCATGAATTAACAGGGTTGCAAATTTATCCTAAATTAAGCTCTCAAGGATGCAGGAAAAGTTGTGTGAGGCAACAGATCATATTGCAACAAACATTTATCAATTATTTTAGCACTTTCAAATATGAAAATTTAAATTAATTAAATGTATTTATAAAAATACACATGTACATATGCACACAAACAAATGGTAATTTATATTTATTCATAAGTGTATTATGTAATCATAGGCTACCTCAAAATCTAATATGCATGACTCAAGTTTCATGTTCCGAATCCAAATGCATTTTGTCAAGTGAAGAGAAATTGAACATATGTCCTAATGAGGGAGTAGGGAGCATCTTAAAGGGATAGTTCACCCAAAAATTACTCACACTCAGGTCATCAAAGATGTAGGTGACTTCATGAAAGTCAGCAACTACCGGTTTTGAGAATAATAATAATAATAATAATAATAATAATAATAATAGAAAGTAGATCAGGCAACACACAATGAACACCCGTGGCTCCTGA